TTCTTAATATACTCAAATTAGTCAACTAGTTACGGAAGGTCATAAATTTTATAATGAGGAATTTTTCAACAATGTTTTCATCTAATATACTGCCTCCGGTCCTAATTATAAGAGCTAGTTGATTAATTTGAGGAGATTAGGGAAAGAAGTTAAGTTAATTATTTGTAATAAATAGGTATTGTTTTTCCTAAAATATCCTTGCTAATTAAGTATAGTGGTCAAAACTACAATAGTTAGAAGGATTACATTAGAAAAAAAAAAATAAATATGAGAGATAAAATGAATTAGAATCTTATATTTAATATCAAAATAAAAATCAAATAAGATTTTATATTAAGTAACGGAGGTAATAATTTGGAAATGGGGGAGGTATTAATTCGGAACGGGGCCAACAAACCTTGTCCTCGTTGGAGCAACAGATAGGTAAGTACTATTATGTGGCAGGAAGGAATGAACTTAGAATCTAACACATGGCCACTGCTTATTTTTGAAAATTAAGGCAACGGGCATTTCTGTGCCAACTGAACTCTATAAAACCAGAAGGTGCATGTGCTAGTTTTCCATGCCCCTCTCTTTCTCTCTCTAAGTGACATACAAGCGTTTGAAAATTGAAATTTTGGTGAGATCTGTTTCCAGGTTGAGAGAAACAATGGTGTCAAGGGCAGAAGCAATGAAGAAGAACAACCAACAAGACCAGCAGCAGCAGAAACAGCAGATAGTGATGATGCAGTTCAACAAAGGGAAAAGTGGGAAGTTCAAGAGAAGCAGCTCAAATCTTGAAGATGATGGAGCTTCCTCTGCTATCCTCTTGCTTGCTTGCATAGCCTGTGCTCCCAATTCTTATGCCTAGATCTCTCTATTACTTTCTCACCTTCTTGTTCTTACTCTTAATTACATATAGACATATCGCTTTAGCTTCCTCTTTTCTTATTCTTATTCCTCTCTCTCTCTCACCATTCTTATTCTATATACATATAACTGTATCATGGTTCAATGATCTACTGGGATTCCTTCATGCATTTCATGTATATTCTCCCCTAGCCTCTTTCTTCAACTTTTATTATAAAGTTCATAAATGAGTTAAGTTCTAAACACTCATCTACATTAAGGTGAACCTTATGATTTAAAAAGTACCACATTTATTAAGATTGACAGTAGAAATTATATATATGAATTTATGGATATGAACTATACACATCCTTATTGCAGACTTTTGCTAATTGGCCACTTTGGTGAAGTTTTAATATGCTTAGAAATTCAGCAAAATCTCGTTCTGTATAAGGTTCCCCCCCCCCCCCAAAAATTTCATCAATATTTCAACATTATGGTATTCCTCTGGTCGTTAATGTAAAACTTAATTTGAGAATTGATAGTAGTTCTATATGTAAAACCTATTTTGTATGTTTATCAATTTTTTTTCATATTAACTCTACTGATATTTTTTTCAATAATAATCAAGTAGGAGAAGAAGGGAAGGAGTTAAGAAATATGATTAGAGTATTTTTTTTAAAAAATATCATATTAACTAATTTAACTAACATCCTTAATCTACTCAAATTAATTGATTAGCTCTTACATTAAGAACTGTCTGATTTTTATTTATTTCTGGGGAGGCAAAACCGTGACAAGGGCAATGACACAGATCACAATCATGTGAGCTATATTAAGAGGAGAAATTATATAGATGGAAAATCATGTGAGAGAGTTATACTGCAGGGGACTAAGACAAAATGTGAAGCAGCAGAGCTTAAGTGGCCATTGGTGGTAAGGGGCCACCCTTCACTTGCTGCGAAGCCATCCTTCTCCCATAATAACAAACATTTTAGGGACAATACACAAGCGACTCTGCTTCCTAATTAAGGACCAGAATTTTTCTGCAACCTTAAAAATGTTAAATTGAAAGTATATAAAGAAAATGTAAATGTGCACGTACAATAAATACTGTATCACGTAAAATATAACTGACATTATTAAGTAATCATGTATTATGTAATAATAGTAAAAGGTTATCTCATTTCTTTTATATTCTCTCTGCCCCTTCTTTTTTTGTTGTCGTGGGCAACTAAGAGGTGTTTGACATTATATAAAAGTATTTTTAAAAAGTATTTTTTCATAAATCAAGACAGGCTCATCCGTGTATTTACTTCGTATATCATAAAATGACTTTTAAAACCATGGTTTGGTTTTCATGCAAATACCCGAATACAACCTCTCTGGTTATATATATTTGTATATAAGATATCTTCTTGAAAATAAGTTGGTCAAATTTATAAAATGTCACGTCAAACAATCAAATATTTTCCTTCTCTATCTCTAAAATGTTAATAGTGATCTCATGATTTCAGCCAAGATTTTATGATCTCTTTCACAAATAAGGAAGATGACTAAGGGTATAATTGAAATACATGAATTTTTTTGGGCAAATAAATCCACAAAAACGCCTAAAACATCTTATAATAAATCGGAGGAAGAAGGTATGTTGAGTACTACCTCCGGTCCTTAATATAAGATCATGTTTGATTTTTATTTTGATTTTAAATATAAGACCCCAATTCATATTATCTCTCATATTTACTCAATTTTTTCCAAGATAGTCCTTCTAATAATTATAGTTCTAGTCAATACACTTGATTAGCAAGGATATTTTAAGAAAGACAACACCTATTTAGGACAAATAACTAACTCAACTTACTTCTTTAATCTCTTAAATTAGTCAACTGGCTCTTATAATTAGGACCGGAGGTAGTATATTATTAGCTGATCATAAGAAAAGGAACACTGTTTTGTTTAACCTGCCTAGTTTGGGAAAATTATGCAATTCATTAGTCAAGGGGTCCTTTAATTAGTCCGGCTGGATTCTCTCAATTTTATTTTAGACCAAAAAGGTCACTCATTATGAATTTATATCTTTCTTATAGTCAATTTGAATTATAGATTTTTTAATCAGTTAATTTATTCAGAAAATATCTTGTCTAAAAATTGTATGTCAGGGACTAGAGGTAGTGTACATTGCGAAGAGAGAAGTTAAAATGAATAATAGTAGTAATAGTTTGCACTTAATAACAACAATACAAAATTATAAGCACCAGCCTAAACTGTCGAGAAATTGAAGAATCTAGATTTAGTATTATTTGTTTTATATTTCTAATAGTTAAGTTTACAATTTTAATTGATGTAGAATTTGAAAATTACTTCTTTCTTTAAAAAAAATAATTTTTACCGTTAAAAATTATGGTTTCAAACCCAGAAAAAAACATGCAGCGCAAAGCAGCAGTAAGAAAATATTTAGGAAAAATTAATTTGCATGTCCTTACACTTTCTCTCCATTTTGAATCAGATCCTTGTGCTTTTTTCACTTTTTATTGGATCTTTTAACTTTCTAACATTAGGCCCTGTTAGTCCCTGCTGTCAAATAAACATTAACACCGTCAATGATTTTTGTTAGCAATGACTGAAACATCTCCTCCTTCCGCCATAACGCCATATCTAAGCAAGCACTCCTCTCTGCTTCGTTCGTGCCACTTTAGATTATAGAAAGCAGCGAAGAAATACATTTCAAGTGCTTTAAGGTCAAGTTGGAAGCTGCCAATTTCGTCATCACCGTCGTCCATGTCTGTAGTTTTAGAGGCTGAACAGAAAGAGCTGCTAGAGTTTATACTCTCCAATCTGCTGCTAAGAGCTCTGGGTCCTCTGCAGCAACAAGGTATCTGTTTGGATTACTGCGAACGGCCACCATATTGAATGTTTCCAAAGCAGGTAGAGATGCACTGGAGAAGAAGATAGGATTGCAACTTGAAGAAGCTACACTAGATGATCTTCTCATACCAAGTTATTCATACCTTAATGAAACACTCTACAAAGTAAAATTGCGTGGAAAGAATTCTGATCCACTTCTTGACCAGTTTAAAAGAAAGAAACGCCGCTGCAGTGGATGGTGATTATGGTATCACCATAAAGAATGATAATGAACCACCAAGCGCTTAGGTTGACTGGTAATGGGTCATCCTAACTTAATCAAGAGTCTCGAGTTCGAGCCTTGGGCATACAACAGTATTAAATACTTGGTGGTAGGTTAGCCACCCTTAGAGTCTTGCAATGGCCGAATCCGGATTAGTCCAAGCCCATTCTTGGGATACCGGGTGAAGTAATTCAAAAAAAAAAAAAAAGAATGGTAATGAAGACAGCTAAAACTACTCTTTAACAAAATTTCATACGGTACAAATAGCATTTTAATAAGATTGAGAAGTGCCTCTCTTTTTTAATACTAAAACAGGGGAGCCCATCCTTTACTATTTTTATTCTTTACTTTTTTTGTTCTTCATTCATATACCTTCTGCATATATTGTTTCAATTTCTTCCTCAATGTGACCATCCTGTATATAATGCATGCTCCTACTTTTTTTTTTGGCCAATATACATGCTCTCGCTAACACTTAACACTCTTCTTCATGTATTTCTATGTGAAGTAATATAATATACATATAATTTTACAAGTACAGCTGATATACATTGAGTTAAAATTATATTCCGTGCCGCCTTACATGTCTCACATTTATTGAGTTTAGAGGCGCCTCTTCATCTCATCATTCTCTTCAGTGTATTCCTCACTCTAGGCTTTTCCAAATTCTTAGACTATCATTGTATGTTTTCTCATGTTCTGTTACATGATTGTCTGACAGGAGTCGAGCCGACGGCGAAGGAAACGTGACCGCGGAGATGGCTGCAGAGGAAGCCAGTGACTTTGTGACCAAGGGAAAGAAAAGAGCAGGGAAGGAACGGCAAGTCATTTACTGATTGAGAAGATGGTGGGAAAAGAGATGGTGTTGGGAATGAGCCAAGGAGGGGGAAGAGGCTGCATGAACCTGGGGTTATGGTGGAGGCAGAGAGAAAGTGCACAAAACGGGGGCCAGTAATTAACCCTCAATCCGCTAGTTTACCAATTGTACCTCCCTCTCCTTTCCATTGTTTGGCCAATAGTTGTACTTTCACGTAATTAGGAATTTGGAACTGAAATAATTCAGCCTGTTTTATTTAATAACGACCAAGGTATGATTGCTTCAATATACTCGAGAGGCACCGCACAACCTCGTACATTTTCTGTACTCTCCGTAGGCTAAACAACCATAATTTGAAAGAAACAAAAATCAGAAACGGAGACACGAAAACCATCTGACATCACAAGTCAAAGACATACAGGTATAAAAATTCAGAATCTCCAGCTCCTCCACAAAAGAGGCAATTAAAACGAAAGGCCTAAGAAACCAACGTTTCCCACAGCAACACGAGGGATGCAGTAGGAAACCATTTATTTGGAACTCTCAGTCTCCATGACAGGAAACTAGACTGCGACTACGCCAAACTTTATAAAGACAAGCACTCAGCAGGCTACTTGCAGTACCGGCTTAATGAGTTTTGGCCATGTGAGTAATCAAGTCAACAACGCGTGTGCTGCAATATTAAAGACAAAGCAAGCATTAGCTATCTACCACTTTACCCTTCCCCTGACCAGCTTTAAAGGTACCGCTACCATGCAATAGTAAGAAAGAAAGATGAATTACCTGTAACCCCACTCGTTGTCATACCAAGCAACAAGCTTCACAAAGTTATCGTTCAAAGCAATACCTGCCTTAGCATCAAAAATACTTGACCTGAAAGGAGGAAAAAGGTTAACATACAACTCCTAGCTCCAAGGAAATATATGGATCTAAAGAAGACAAGATAAAGAATTTGATGAATTTAACAACTTCCAATCAGATGATGATCCGCACCTGCTGTCCCCAACGAAGTCAGTGGAGACCAAATCTTCTTCAACGTAACCAAGGATTCCCTTCAACTTGCCCTGGGACTCCTCCCTGAAAGACAGTAGCATCAAATCAGACAAGCCAGAAGCAAAGCAATCCCAAAAACATTCCAGCTAATATCAAAGAGTTCAACGATCAAATAAAAGTTAACTATAAGAATTGCTTCGAGAATAAAATCTTACTTGATGGCAGCTTTAATTTGGTCATAGGAGGCTGCCTTTTCCAGCCTCACAGTGAGATCAACAACAGAGACATCCACAGTAGGAACGCGGAATGCCATTCCAGTCAATTTTCCATTCAAAGAAGGAAGAACTTTCCCAACAGCCTGACGCAAACAAGAGTATATCAGTGAAGGAGACCAGAAAAAGGTAACAGCTTACAGTAATATATGAATGCCAATTATTCACCTTAGCAGCTCCAGTGCTGCTCGGAATGATGTTAAATGAGGCAGCTCTTCCGCCCCTCCAGTCTTTACTTGATGGCCCATCAACAGTCTTCTGGGTAGCTGAGCGGCAATATAGCAAGAAAGTCACAATTACTCTTAGCACACAAAAATGAGAAATGCTAGATGTTACAGTTAATTATACCCACCAGTGATGGAGTGAACGGTGGTCATTAGCCCCTCGACAATGCCAAATCTATCATGAATAACCTACAATTGACAAAGGAAGATTAATATAACAGAACAGTATGGCAAACAAATACAGTATAAGCATCCGAAGGCCTAATAACCTTGGCAAGTGGAGCAAGGCAGTTGGTCGTGCAGCTTGCATTGGAGACAATATTCAGTTCCGGCTTGTATTCGTGCTCATTAACACCTACGACAAACATGGGAGCATCTTTACTAGGGGCAGATATGACAACCTTCTTTGCACCACCCTGGCTCAAGCAAAACAAATCAGACAAATAATCATTTCACACAATCCTCACAAATCCAAACTGTGATAAAATACCATTGAAAAAGAAATTATAAGCAAAGTGTATGTAAGACGGGCATTTTTGACATGCTTCTAGCTAAGCTTCAAGACCCAGCGCCAATCAGTCCCAAAAGATGTTATACAAGAAAAGATAACAGTGAAAAGTTATACCATTATGCAAACGTTTAAAATAAGCTTGTATGAGCAAACGACAAATACTAAGGGCAAGAGAATGGGCAGTGCACAAAGGCAAACCTTCAAATGGGCAGCAGCCTTCTCCTTGTCAGTAAAGACACCGGTGGACTCAACAACAAACTCAGCTCCAGTCTCAGCCCAGGGGATCTCTTCCGGGTTCCTGATACACGAAGTTACAAGGTTAACGTATAATCTTCACCTTCGAGACGTAGTGTTAACATTTACCAGCACAACCATAAGAAAATTTCTAGAGCATCACCTGTGAGCAAACACAGTGACAGACTTTTCACCGAAAAGAAGGGTTTTAGAGTCCTTGACCGTGATATCGTGATGTTTCCACTGGCCGTGAACACTGTCGTACTTGAACATGTATGTCTGCCAGGCACGAGTGACGATCACTCAGAAAAATGTAAAGGAAAAATCGTAGGCCAAATTCATAATTTCATTCGTACAGTGGAAAACATGTGGAGCAAGTCGACAACTAAAGACTACCAACTTAAACTGAACACGCATCAACTCAATGGAAAAGCTGAACAAAACAGAACTAGAATCCGATCAGAGAGCTAATCACAGCTGAGTGACGACAATTCCACACATACGGTGATGAAACATGAACATAGATAACGGTAAGGTATACCATGTAGTCGGTAGAAATGAAAGGGTCATTGACAGCAACGAGTTCGATATCATCTCTCTGCAGAGCCACTCTCGCCACCAAGCGACCAATCCTTCCAAATCCTGGAAGCGAAAACGCAAACGAAAACAAGAACTCGAATCACTTCAGGAAGTCACTGACAAATCAAATATCCAAATAAAAAAAAAAAAATAGACTCGATCCAAGCGAACGAGCAGAAAATGAAACCAGAGGATGTAGATCGTAGTAGAAGATCACTTACCATTGATTCCGATCTTGATCTTGCCTGATTTCAAACGAACAAAAACAAGAATGAAATAGAATCAGATCAGAGAAGATAAAGTAGAATAATGAACGAAAATAAAGTAAAATCCATGAAATAGCAGTGATTACCCATAGTTGCAGAGGGTGGAGGGTCCAAGGCCGAGAAGACACAGCAGAGTAGAAATGAGAAATGAGAAAGCAGCGGAAGACAGCAAAGAAAAGTAGTCTTAGGGTTTGATTTATTTAAAGCCCGAAATGACTGGTGCTGGACACTGCGGGCTGGTAAGAGGGTCCCACTCACATCACTACCACGCTGCATTACCGGCGCATGACCCATGATGCTGTTCCTTACTTTCTGGCCGCCTGATTGTCCTTTTTTTTTTTTTTAAACCAGATTTTCTATTATTTTGATCAGAGGAAAGTGTATCCTAGCAATGGTAAACCTAGTTATAAAAGGAGGAGATTAAAATTATGAAAAAATTGCCAAAAAAAACCGTTAAAATAAAAAAATTACATACAGAGACCTCTTCATGAAATTATTATCAAAACCCATACTAATACTATCATACTTCCCAATTTATTTATTTTTATTTTGATGGTCTTTTTTTTGTGATTTTTCCTAAAATTATTTACGTTATACTCCTCCGATCCTTAATATAGGATCCAATTCTTGAGTTGGTTTTGGTTCTAAATATAAGACCCAGTTCTCATATTTATTAATTTTCTCTAAATTACCCCTATAGATACTTTCTCAACCATAATTAGTATTGATGTCAATTTTAAGGGGTATTAAGAAAGATGATTATGGTGTTTTAGGAAAAATGTGTCAATTTTCCTATAATTAACTAACTTACCTAACTTCTTTAATCTAATCAAATTAGTTAAATGAGTCTTATATTAAAAATAGGAGGAGTAAGTTTTTTCCAATTGAAAGAGAACGAAACCAAGGATCTAGATTGTTAGCGCTAGAGAGGTCAAGAGTCTTACTCACGCTAGCTGTTCCGCTACAAAACCGGCGTATGACCCATGGTACTGTCCCATGGTTTTTGGCCGCTTGATTTTCTTCTATTATTTTGATTATTGATTATTGATCATGGGAATGTGTATTATCATTATTTTGTTCCAAATCTCTCTTTTTCTTATTATATATTTTCAAAAATAAAATAAAATATTTATATAGTCTCGTATATGTTTTTTTTTACCGAATGAATTGTTGTATTTTTTGTTGATAATGAAATCTATTTTTCTTAAATATTCTCATTGAAATGTATTGTATAGTTAGAAAAATAGGTACAAATGATAATACAAGGGATAAAAACAGGGGAGACGATAAATACTACAAATAAAATTCGTGCTACGATTTTATTGAAAGGACGAGGAGACGCTGAGAAGGATCTGGAGAGGGGGGATTCGGAGGACACATCAGGTAGTGGAGAACCGGGAGGTTCATATTGGACGACACGTTGCTGTCGGCTTTTGAAAACTTTGGGGGTTCGAATTCGAAGCAAAAGACATTGGCTATTTGGCTGTGAGATCAGCCACGTCTGAGATGTCAACAGCCACACCAACCCAACAAAGTCAGAAAAACCGGAATATCGTGGGGACTGGGAAGCTTGTGCGGGCAATCTGAAATGTTCCATATATCTCTACGCGTCAATAATTTGATCCCCTTCACAATCACTTCGTACTATGAAAGCTAGCTTTCCAACAATTGCAAGATTATGAATTTAGGGTGTGTTTGGGTGACACCCCAAACCATGGTTTGGGGAATAATCTACCCAAACACTCCCTCCAAAAATCAAAACCATGGTTTTGGGTCAAAACCATGGTTTTGACTCCAAAACCATGGTTTTGGAAAAAGCAAATTTTTTTTGCTTTTGGAGAAAGAAGGGAGAGTGTGAGGGCCTATATGATATGTATCTTGTTATTTTTTTTATAAACATATTTTTTATAAATATATTTAATCTTATATTTTATAAATATATATACACATTAATTATTTATTAATTATATTATCTTATGTATTATTAATTATGTTGGTAAAAAACATATTATTAACAATTTTATTCCTTCAAATTAAAATATATCATAAAATCTATTTTTTTTGTAATTATCATATTAACTTATGTCTTTTTTTTAGTAATTTGTATATATAAAAAGTGCTTCTGATAACAACTATCCAAACACTCTCACTTCTCAGAATCACTTTTTTACAAAATCTATTCTTCACAGAATCTATTTTCCCAGAATCTATTCTCCAAAATCACTTTTCCAAACCACGGTTTGGTTTCATCCAAACACACCCTTAATCTTACACTAGGAGCATCTGGAATAACCCTTAGAAAAAAATACTTTTTTATGCAAGTTAAGATAAAACTTTTCTCGTATGTTTATTTTAAATACCATAAAATCATTTATATTTCTAATAAGCTAATTCACCCTCATACTGTGAATGTCTGATCCTCTAATATTATTATAGGCTTCATTTAACACTATAATTTTGGTAATTGGAAGCCTTTCTTACTTGGTCACCCAAAACAAACAAATAACGCTGCTGCTATCAAGACAACTTGTTATTGATAGATGGTTTGCTTTTTTAAAAAGGGCGGAAGAAGTAGTGGTGGTAAGGTGAATGAATATAATGCAAGAGACAAGTAGAAAGGTCGGACGGTGGTTCAACCACCAGGAAGTAAGGGATGAACTGAAGTTGTCTATTTTATTGAGTTGGCAAGCGGATCTGTCTAAGCTCTCAACTTTCAAGGGATATCCGTGAGCAATGGTTGACTTGTTCTTTTTAATTCTCGTTGCACTCCCAGCTACAAGTTTAACGCAACTTTGTGAACCATTTGTTTTTTCCCCTTCTTTTCTTTGTGATTCTTGTATGCTTTAGATGCCGGTCAGAGGGGCAACGTAACGTTTAAGACATGTTTGGGACATGGGTAGTACGAGTTGAAACTCTTCATTGAAGTCCATTAGACGAATGGGTTTCACAAAAGTTTCTAAGCCTTAGCTTTGATCACTTTATTTAGGTCCTGTTTGGAATAACTTACAAGTAGCTCATAAGCTGATTTTCAATAGTGATTTACAAAATACGAGATAAGTATGTGAGAAGAGTTTTGTCTTAACTTACATAAAACATGCTTATAGGAATTTCCACTACTCTGCCAAACAGGACGGGATCATAAGCCCAGCTTTTGGACGCCGGCCACTTCATCACATTTTAAACTGTGTATTGAAAAAACAAAGATGCACTTTTGAGTAGAGAAGGGAAATCGAGAGCATTTTTGGATTAAAATTATATCAACCGTTGGATTGTTTTCTACGTTGAGGGGATTAATTTGTCTATAGGATCGAAGTAGTTATCCGTGTACACTTAGTTTTAAACTCATCCAATGCTTGTGAGTAATTAAGAGTCTTTACTAAGCAAATCATGTCATTAAACAATTGTTTAAGTAATTACAGTACTACAGGGAAAAGAGGCAATTATTTGGATATTATCCCATAATCGTATATAGGTTAGTATGTACCAAGAACCAAAGAAAATTCCCCTCCTTAGCATATATGCTAAAATCCATCGCCCAAGCCAAACAAACAGTAGTGACTATATAGAAACCTCCCCCGTCAAGTTGATCCTTGATTTTATTAATTTTCCGACTCTCTTGTCAACATAGTGTCATAACTATGCTTTCAACTAAATGCAGGGGAATTAATTCTCTTATTTTTTTATTCTTTGCCACAAAAAAGTGCCAAAGTACACTAAATCAAGAATTAATAATGGCAATATCTTTCGAGAAATAAATTGATCAATGGTCAAGTTGATTTTTTTTTTTGGGTGCGATAATACTATAATAGTCAATCTGATTTAATTTAATACTTATATATTTGTCAACTTATATCTTAAACCATACAAGCATGTTTATACATAAAATGTGAGTCCCATGCACCACTTGAAGTTTGAGGAATCAGTCGTACTACTTTTAACTTCGCATTGATATATAACTTTTTGGTTAAACAAAAAAATATTACATTCAATCCTAATCATAAGAGTTAGTTTGTAATGTATTTGCATTATAAACTAGTTTTTATATTTAAAACCAATGGTAATATATATATACCTTCATATAAATGGGAAAAGATTGGCCTAATGCAAATATATTATACTCTTCTGATCTTTAATATAAATCTAATAACTAATTTGAGTGAATTGAGTATGCTAGATAAATTAGTTAACATCATATTTTTTTTAAAAT